AGGTAGCAGGTCCTCTTGAATGATCCCCATACCCTCCTGAAACGAATCCCTGTAAAATCCTCATATCTCCGCATGGCATGTGTGTCCCTTGGGCCGTAAACCCTAAACCCTAAACCCCCCAGGTAAACATCAGTCAAGACCATTCCGGCCCTAATTTCATCTGGAAACTGGGCTGCTCTCATGTTTCAAGAGATGTAAAAATTCCTGGCCCTCGTATATCATAGTATATTAGGGGTTATATAGGGGTAATGGAAAAGAAATGGAAACTACTATAGGGTATAGGATTTTCCGGAGGATCTCTGCGTCAGCCACTTTTGACAAACCGCTTATAGTGCCTTGTTTGAGTTTTCCTTCTTGGTGGGAGTTGTGGGTTGCTAGCTAGGTACGAGGAAATGCACTTACCAGCCACCCGCACCACTACTCCTCCTGCTTCTGCAATAACTACCACTCACGCTGTGGGTGATATATAGACATATATGAACAACTGAATATTTGCGGCTGTGGCAGTTGTCCGACCACACAACCTGATATCCGTCGAACACATATCAAGTTCGTAAGCTTGTTATTCCATGTAGTCCGAGAGGTATGACTATACATGATCATGGTGTTGGTAGTGATGCAGACAGAAAAGCTGTTTAGACTGACCTTCTGATTTCTGCCGGATATGCCAAGCCTAAATATGTAACATGTTCATCTAATTTTCGATCGGAACGAAACAAATACTTTACCACATGAATATAGTGAGGACTTCAATTCAAATGGCGTGACGGCTCCGCGACGACTCATAGCATCACCAGCTTCTGCCACCATGCGTGGCTCAGTGCTGCCTGCTGTAGCCTCAGCCTATGCACCAAGAAGCGCGTCAGCTGTTTCGCATTTCAACCTCAGATTGGGTCACATCTATGCGGATCTATTAGGAGGGGGCCTGAATAAACAGTGGGTCGGATAAACAGTGGGTCCCATGGAGGCTCCTTAGAGGCCTAAGCTCCTTTTACTGCGGTTCACCTACACATCCCTTCTTGACAGATTCGAAAGGAGAGGCAGGGATGGAAATGAGGGATGCTGCCATAAGTTGTCGAGAGTGAGCTGTTGCCGTAGTACCGGTAGTATAAACCCCACTATATCAGGCGGGACGTCCGCGAGACATTGGCATTGCGTCTTCTGCAGGGACTGAGGATAGGAATCCCTGCAGCTACTCCTGCAACCCCACCTACAGTCACAAAACATAATCTGCCCCATCATCCACAGCCCACTCACTGCAGGGCAGCTGGGCTGGCACCCTGCGGCATCACTACAACCACAACTCTGTCAAGCCTGCTTCTGCTACTCATACCATAAAGAGAACTCTTATGCGCATATTGCAGTTGATCGTTGCTGGAGCCGTGCCAACGGATGTACTGTTTTCCAAAAGCCTGAGCTCCTTGATGCTGACCTCTAAACCTACGTAGAGGCCAAAATCTACACCACAAGCCTCGTCGATCCTGAGTCGCGCTGTAATGCTGCTTGGCAACAACTTATCGGAGTTCAAGGCTTTCTCCGCGAGTTCAACGGGCGCGAAAACCAGTCCTGTCCTGCAAAGCACGAACTGAGCTCCCAAACTCATCATGCGAGAATTGTCCTTCATGTGGTGCTTTACATGAAAAAAAGAGGTTACCCGATATATATATATATACACATACATATATACCCC